TTTAGCATTGTAGTATCCGGCTCTCACATAACTGGGTTAGAACACAAGCAGCACCCTCTAGTACATGTTCACAAACGTCCTCTCAGATGTAGTTCCGCAAAGAAGCAGCAAAGTGGAAGAGGCAGATCAGGGAATGGGACTCCTTCACTTATCCTATACAGTATCTAGCAGAGAGGACCTGGACCCAAATAAATGTTCTTTCTTGGACTGTGAGGTTTCTCTATTCAGTTATGTTGGCCGTCTCTCCTACCAAAATGTCGTTGCCTTAAGGGCAAGACCTTGGCTTTCTGTGCCTGCCCCCACCCTTGCTCTGGTAACAGCCAAAGACTGATTTATTTTGTTGAAAATGTGATAAAGAAATAGTGGAAAAACAGAGGAATAAGAGGGCTAAAAAGAAAAAAAGAACTTTTCTTTTCAAACCCAGCAACAGAGTCCTTGGTGAGGAAAGAGAACTTTAACTGAGATGTCGTTTCAGCACGGCAGACAAGGAGGGCTGGGAAGGTGCACAGCTGCAGAGTCTGCGTCCTGACGGTGAGCGCTCGGTGGCACAGCCTCGGCCCTGCGGGCAGCACTGTCAGCAAGGCCAGTGGAGACTCTACTCTTGGACCCTGGATGCAGGAGTGCATGGGCTTCAGCAAAGTTAACTGAATTTGCTTGACTGATGCTGAAAAAGGCCACAGAGGGCTGTCAACAGACAGGTGCTTATCTCTTGGGAGAGACTGCACAGGCAGAGGCTGGGCATGGGGCAGCCAAGGGAAAACAGGGGTTCAAAGCCAAGGATGGGGCTGTCCTGAGACAAGGCAGAAACATTTCTCCCAGGACTGCCCCACTCTACACACACAGCAGCTGCATGGACAGATGAGATCACCGCCAATTTTCAGCATTTGGGTAAGGGTTTCTTCAACAAATACCACAACTGTAGCAATAGCAACAAAACCATTCCCTATGTCTTATTTCTAAACTCAAAGCCCCTTTAAAGAATACAAATATTGTTTTAGATAAACGGCACCACTGGGAAGAAATGCCCTATTCAGTGGAGAAGGAGAGTGTGAAGTTTCCCCCACTGATCTCCACACTCCTCATCTAATCTGGGACTCGTCCTACCTGGGACAAGCCCAGGGCCAGCACATACCTCACCTTCACCAGCCCTGAGGACGTGCCTCCTGCTGGCCTTACCTGCAGGGCAAACAGGCCCAGCCAGAGGGTGCCCAGCACAGCAAGTTCCCCCACAAGGGGCATTGCTCCTGCCAAGGCCCGCTCCCCTCAGGAGCACCATTGCTGCTCACAATGTACAGCTCCACTTTAGAAATAAAATCTGGGCTGGGTGCAGTGGCTCACACCTGTAATCCTACCACTCTGGGAGGCCGAGGCAGGTAGACTGCCTGAGCTCAGGAGTTCAAGACCAGCCTGAGCAAGAGTGAGACTCTATCTCTATTAAAAATAGAAAAACTAGCCAGGCGTTGTGGCAGGCACCTGTAGTCCCAGGTGGGAGGGACTTGGGAGGCTGAGGCAAGAGGATCACCTCAGTCCAAGAGTTTGAGGCTGCTGTGACCTGCTGTACCTATGACACCACGGCACTGTACCTGCACAAAGTAAGACTCTTCCTCAGAAAAAACCAAAACAAACAAACAAAACAAACTTTGTTCCTTCTCCACTCCCACTGCTACACTTGATTAGCCTTAAAAAAAAAAAATAAATGAAACCTGGAAGCCGGCAACATTGCATCAAATCTGTATGCCTCCATGACACACAGCAGCTCTATCTGAATGAAAATCCACAGCCGATCCAACTGCTTTCAGCTGTGCATCTGGAAGTTTTCTGGCATAGCATTTTTCTCCCATTTCCATGTGGCTGCCTGGTCGCCAAAATACAGCCATAGACTTGGTAAAGAAAAATGACAAAATGAATTCTGGCTGCAGCTTGCGTCCTCCAGGTAAGCCAATTCGGCAGGCATTCTGCTTGCCACCGTAGACTAGAGCCCCATAAAGAAAACCTGAGTGTAGGCTAATGAGTGGACCCCTGTGAAGAAAAACAGCTATAAAGGGAATATCATTTGCAGATAGACACTTTTTCTAATTAAGATTTGGAGGAATCAATTTTTTAAAAATGTTGCCCAATTTGATATCTCCACTTGGATGTCTAACAGGCACCTGAAACATTGACAGGTCCCAAACTAAGCTTGGTTAGGTGCTTCCCCATGCTTCTCCTGCAGCCTCCCTGTCTCCGTAAATGGCCACACCATTCTCTACTGCTCAGTGAGAAAGTGAGAGGTCATCTCGTCTCTCTCTTCTCCCCCCGTCCCACTTGTGATGCACCAGCAAGTTCAGCTGGGTCTCCTTTCCAGGCAGACATCTCCAGAATGTGACCCCTTCACTCCACCTCTATTGTGACTGTCCCCATCCAAGGTATCATGGTCTCCGGCCTGGATGCCACATTGGCCTCCTTGCTGGTCTCCCTCCTGGTCTCCTTCCCCTTCCAGCCTTTTACTCTCAACACAGACACCCAAGAGAGCCTCTGACTGAGAAGTCAGCCACATCCCTCTTCCACCCAGCCCCTCCCCATCACTCCCAAGTAAGAGTCGGGTCCTTCCGTGACTGTAGGGCCCCTGTTACCCCCAGACTCATTTCTCACTACTCCCAACCTCCCTCCCCTTCAGCTACAGGGTTCCCTGTTCCTTGAACGCAGGTGTTGCCCAGCCTGAGGCCTCATTCCTGCTGTCTGCTCTCCCTAGAGGGCACTTCCCCTGGGTTTCCTCATGGCCCACTCCTTACTTCAGGTTTTTACTCAAATGTCACCTTCTCAGCAAAGCCTCCTCGGGTCTTCTCATCTAAAGTGTGAGGGCCCCTAACACATCTTACCCACTTTTCCTGATCTATGTCTCTCCTCTGGGGCCCGTATCACTAATACATTCAGGCAGTACTTGTTTATCCCGTCTCCTCCCCACTGGAATCTAAGCTCTGTGAGATCTAAGTTGTTCATGTGCTTGGTTCAGGTGCTAGGAATGAGGCAGTAAAAAGTATCATGTGTCTAGTAGTATTCAGTAAATATTTTTAAGTCAAATATATATCCAAATTGGCTTAGAAAATTAACAAACAAGGACTGATATGCTTTCACCTACCAGGCACAGTGTAGGGGTGTATAGCACAACTACAACTTGGACTCTACCTAACAGAGGCAAACAATGTAACCTAACCATCTATACCCTCATATTAATCTAAAATTGAAAAAAATTAACATAAGGCCAGGCTCCGTGGCTTACACCTATAATCCTACCACTCTGGGAGGGCGAGATGGGTGGACTGACAGAGTTCATGGCTTTGAGACCAGCCTGAGCAAGAGCAAGATCCTGTCTCTAAAAAAACCAGCCAGTGTTGTGGTGGGTGCCTATAGTCCCAGCTACTCAGGAGGCTGAGACAAGAGGATTAGTTGAGCCCAAGAGTCTGACGTTGCTGTGAGCTATGATGCCAGGGCACTCTACCGAGGGCAACAAAGAGAAACTCTAGCTCAAAAAATAAAATAAAATAATTAACAAACAAAAAGTGAACTGGATGGACAAATGATATGAATCAGAGTGACAAATGCCACTGAAATTCTGTTTCTTACAGTGGTGGACTAAATGAGAACTACTAAAAAAGGTGAATTAAATATGAAAAATACCTCCTTAAATATGAGAATCAGGAGAAGCAAGCCTAACACAGAAAGCTGCTTTCTCCCAAGGGCATGTGCTGACCTGGAAGCAGCAGCTAGAGACTGACTACTTTCTTGGCCTGCTCTAAGAGGACAGGGACCAAGGTCAAAGCCCCAGGTCTTCCAAAAAAGCAGCTATGATACACAGTCCCCCCTTTAGGCTTGGCTCCCAAAGTGCAGACCCTCCCCAGGCTGAATGGAAAGAGACCAGATCGGCAACCTGGCTTCTCATCCCCCAGCTTGGAGGGCCACGAGCCTGCAGTTGTTTTAAGGTGATCTAAGACTGATAGGGTCCCCACATCTTGGCAGAAGCAAACAAAAATTCTCTCTGGAAGAAGTAACTGCCATCTTAGGCCTCAATTTATTCCTATATGTAAAATTTCAAATGCAATAACCTGCACACAGAGATAATCCAAACACAAAGAAACAGGATACCAGGCATGAGAATCATCAGAAACAAAAGATAGCACAACAGACTTACAGAGTGGACTGTCAGCCACGGCCTCTGTTCAAAGAGATAAAAGGCAGACTTCAGAACTTCAGCAGACAACTAGGTGACAGTTTTAAAAATGTGAAAAATAATTAAAATGCTTAAATTGACGTTCTAGCAAATACCCTTGAACAAGTATTTACAGTGGGCAGGGCACTGAGTTTGAGGGAAGTGTTGTGACCTTGGTAACCTGACCTTATCGTCCAATGAAGAGTGAGGGAAATGAGGGTGAGTATTCATTTTACAGGTTTATTAGCTAGAATGAAAACAGGCCGTCTGCTAGTCATAGAAATACAGATTCTTAAATCCCAAAAGGGAAAAAAACAAAGCAAGCTCTCTATAAGAGACTTTTTAAAAAGAGAAAAAAATAGACCCGGTATCCAATTTCATCCTTTTCCATACTCACAGACAGGGAGGTATAACTTTATATAGCTTTCTGGCGACCCCCAAATTAGGCCCCACTATTACAAAAGAATCCCTATACCACTGCCAGGCAGTTTGGTTTGAAGTCTCCTGAATGAGAACAGGAATACTCAGTTGTCTCACAAAGGATGTTTGCTTCCCCCACTTCCAAGGATTCGCAACTCAACTCAAGAGAGGCTAGAAATAGCCATCATCCCCTCGACAAACAGCTGTGTCACACCCGTCCCCCTCCTCCCTCCCTCAGCCTCCCCACACCGGCTGCTATATCTAAGCCACAGGGCAGACCAGAGAAAAACAATTAGTCATCCCAGGTTAGGCCCACCTTCCCCACCACCCCTGGTATTCAAAGCACAATCACTGTAGAAAACAAGCTGTCTCTGCAAGGCAGAGGGGCACCTACAGGTCTGAAAGACTTGAAGACTTTTTCCAGGACTTCGTGGAGTGTCTTCTTTCCGCAGGAGGAGATGTAATCCTGAGCGAGCTGCAAGAAAGGCAGGCAGTCCTCGCTCTCACTCCACACGTGCTGCGGGCCCCAGGTGGGGAGGGAGAAAACAAAGACACACACGTCATTACACGTCATTACACGCAGGGTGAGATACAGAAAGCCCAGCAGGTATTTTTTTTTTTTAATTACAGGGGTTTGACAAGGCCTCCCATCCTAAAGTAAAACCCATACGCTCATTATCTACTGTTTGCACCCAAGGGGATCAATGCATAGAACCCCCCAACCCAGCTTTTGAGTCTGTTAATTCGCCTGCTCTGGTTGCCATTGGATCTGCTTATACAAAGCAAAGAGGACAATGGGGTGGATAATGGGCACCCAGGCACCCAGCGTCTCTACCACCTACCTTCTCGTGCAGGCTAAGTAAGAGTGGTTTTCAGACAGGGAGGAGAAGCCAGCGCCTTTGCCTTCAAAATCCTTAATTTTGCCTTCAGCTATGTCTGAAGGATTAATTAAGCATAGTTTGTAAGCACTAACTTGGAACAAGACGTTCTTTACCCAGACCAGGCTGTAAGCGGGGGTGGTGATAAATTTACTTTTAAATGAAATGAACTTCAGGGAACCTGCAAGGTTATCACTAAGTCACCAGGAAACAGGCTTTGCTTTCCCTCTCTCAGAATGCTTTTTTTTTTTTTTTTTGAGACAGAGTCTCACCATGTAGCCCTGGGTAGAGTGCCGTGGGGTCACAGCTCACAGCAACCTCAAATTCTTGGGCCCAAGTGATTCTCTTGCCTCAGCCTCCCAAGTAGCTGGGACTACAGGCACCCTCTACAATGCCTGGCTATTTTTTGGTTGCAGTTGTCATTGTTGTTTTAGCAGGCTGGGCTGGGCTTGAACCCACTGGCTTTGGTGTATGTGGCTGGCACCCTACTTACCCTGGGTGCCAAGCCTCTCAGAATGCTTTAAGAGGGCATCTTACCCAAGCATCAATCACCTACTGAGAAGAGACTGGTTTTAGGTTTTATTTTTTTTCTTAAAATTGGGTGAGGCTTTTTTCCATATAAGGACATCCGTTTTCACAGATCTTTAAAACTAGGCTTGCCTCTCCCATACATGTTCAAAGATCTGGAACAAGCCCAAGACACAGGCTTGAGTGATCTCAGTGAAGAAGACCCTGCTCCGCATATCTGAGGTAGGGCGCCAGGATACCAAGAGAACATCAGGGTGTCTGTCAGATACCAAGAGTCACTGTTCAGGGGGAACAACTGATGACAATTCCACACTGGCAAAAACTGTGGAGCCTCGGAGAGAGGAAGGCATTTGGCAGGTAAGAGCAAGAGGCAGTGGCCAGGCAGCAGAGGATGAGATCTACATGGAGAAATGGTCCACGTCAAGAGCATACTTGCCCCTTCTAGTAATACAAACTATGGAGGCACCGCCCAGAAAGTTATAAGCCTGTCACTCAATAAATATGTTTCATCTTCCTTCTCCGACAGTATTTCCAAGAACTAGATCGACTGACTTAAAATACTGCTCAAATCCAAGTGAGAATAACTAGGTGTTAACATGCCATCTTTATACCCCAATTATCTGCTTCATAGTTGTAAAGGTCCATTTCCGACACTCGTTACTCTCATTCCAGCAGACTTCTTGAGAGGCTTCCTTCTCCACCTAATAAAGACAATATCCAGGAGCTCCAGAGTCAGAGAACAGCTCAAATGCTCTTCCCTGTTAATTAGAGACCCTTAAAACCACTGACATGTCGTTTATGTAACAGTTTCTTACACTGTACAAGAGCATAGTAGTACAAAGTACTTTTATATCCATTATCTCATGTGATTTTAATCAGTGGAGCTTCTACAAGAACAACAAAGTCCTACTTTAGTAAGTTCTGCTCAGCATCTATTTTCATACTCAAATGCATAAACGTTCCAGCTTATTTAAATTATTATCCGAGTTAAAGATGAGATTAACATCTAGCATCACACAACAGAAACCCTTAAGCCTGCCTTCTGTAGACTTGCGAAGGTGAGAAAACGAGTGAAAAGTTAAGTGCCTGGCACAGTGCCTGGCTGGCATGGACAGTCACAAATGGATGATATAAGCACCTTCGTTCCCCTTTTGCAGAGGATGGAGAGGAATGGGGGTGCTGCACTTGCTCCCTGTCACAAGGTCACATGATAAGTAAATCAGATACCCAGCGTGACTTCTCCGAGAATACTACCCAAGGCAGCGAGGATGAGGTTAATTCAGAAGTATAGCCGTGAAAAATTTCTATATCTACCTTCTTTTTTTTTCTTTCTTTCTTTTTTTATTGAATGGTAACTATGTACATTAATGCACTTCTGGGGTACAGTGTGGGGTTTTCACACACAATCCGAAACACTTCCATCAAACTGGTTAATATAGCCTTCATGT